GGGTGAGGCCTTGGGCTCGGCGGTGATGGTAGAGGGCGTGGATGTGGGAGCGGACGGAGGGGTTGAGCTGCTGGCAGGCGGAGATGGTGCCGGGACGGTTTGGTCAGGCGTGGGAGGGGCACCCGCAGCAGGTGCTGGGCTGTGGTTTGGTGTGGGCTGACGAGGGCGGCTACTGCGCGCCCGACGAGGGAGATCGACGGGGGGCAGGAGATCGGTCAGGTCAGAATGGGTTGGGGTGTTCGGCTCGATCGTGTTTTGTTGGCGAAACGGGAAGGTGGACTCGTCGAACACAACATGGCGCGAGATGACTACGCGGCCGGTGACACGATTTAGGCACCGGTAGCCCTTGTGATCTTGTGAGTAACCAAGGAAAACACAAGGAGCAGACCGGGGGGCTAGTTTGTGCTGTGAGGTGGCCCTGAGGTTTGGGAAGCACAGGCATCCGAAGACTCGCAAAGCGGAGTAATCCGGATGGACGCCATAGAGCAAGAAGAACGGCGTTTGGTTGTGCCGCGGTCGGCAGGGTCGACGATTGAGCAAAAAGGTGGCTGTTTGGAGAGCCTCGGCCCAGTACGGGTAGGGCATGGATGCATGTATAAGGAGAGAGCGTGAGATGTCGTTAAGTGTCCGCAGCGCACGCTCGGCTCGCCCGTTTTGGGGGGAGGTGTATGGACATGACATGCGGAGAACAATGCCCAGAGAGGAGAAGAGCTGGCGAGAGGCATTATTGTCAAACTCCCGACCATTGTCGGTTTGTATGGTGAGGACGGGTAAGTTGAAGTGGCGACACACCAGTGTGATGAACTGCCGTAGGGTGGGCAGGACCTCGTTTTTGTGCTTAAGCGGGAATGTCCACATAAAATGACTGTAATCATCGACAACCACTAGATAGTACTGATAGCCAGAAATACTAAGTACAGGAGAGGTCCATACATCACAATGCACAAGCTGAAAGGGAAAATACGAAACATGATCTGATGAACTAAACGGTAGACGGTGGCTTTTGCCGAGACGACATGCAGTGCAGGTGGTGTGAGCAGCGTCCGAGACGATGGACGCACGCCGGAGGGTGGTGTCCAGAGCGTCGTCGCCAAGGTGGCCGAGGCGGCGATGCCAGACGTCGCGTGAGGTGGCGGTGAAGGCTTGGTGATGACGGGTCGGCGGTGTTGGGTGCAGTGGGTACAGGTCGTCCGGCGAGTCAGAGCGGAGGATCACCGCCTTCGTTCTTCGGTCCTTGATAGAGAAACCAAATTCGTCAAATTCAACGTTAACTGGGTTTTCACGGGCTAGGGTTTTAACGGAGATGAGATTTTTGATGAGATGTGGGGAGACTAGAACGTTGTTAAGAGTGAGGGGTTGGGCTGTGGTGGGTAGTTGCAGATGACCAGTGTGCGTGACTGCCATAGTACCACCATTGCCAACCACAATGTCAGGTAAAGAACAACGACGAGATGAGGAAAGCATACCCGGAGACGCAGCCATGTGGGAGGACGCGCCGGAGTCAAGGACCCATTCCCCGCCGGAGTTGGAGGATTGGCCCTGCTGCAGGCTCATGGCGTTGAGGGCGTGGACGAGAGTGGCTTGATCCCACGCCGGCGCCTGGATGCCACTGGGTGCATTGGTTGCACCGTAGAGCGGGTGAGGAGGAACGGCGCCGGGCTGCCAGTAGGTTGGAGGCGCACCAGCAGGCGGGGGTGGCGCCCAGGAGTGAGCCGCCATGCCCGCAAATGGCGCAGGACCGCCAGGACGCGGGCCGAGGATGCCAGCCCCAGGAGCGTGCGGGCGCCATGGCATGGGCCAGGCATGAACCAGACCCGTCCAGGGTGTCGAGTTTGGAGCAGCAGGGCGAGGGGGGGCACCGCCCCCGCCGTGGTTGGACGACTGGCCACCACCAAAGCCGGACCCCCTCCCCCTTCCTCTGTGTCGGCCACCACCGCGCCCGCCCCCGTTGGAGCGGTTGTTGTGATCGCCGGGGCCGCCTCCGCCCGCGGGTGCAGGCATGGGCGCGCGCCCGGCATGGAGGGCGATGTCGGGCTGCGTCTCCTCGGCGTTGCGGCTCTCTTCGAGAAGAAGGAAGGCGCGGCACCGGAGCAGTGTCGGGAAGGGAGACTGCATGGTGAGGATGGGAACCGCATACCGGTAGCGAGGGTGGAGGCCGCGGATCATGTTCAGGACCTGGTCGCGGTCGGTGACGCGCTCGCCGAGGTCGGCAAGACGATCAGCACACTCCTTGAGCCTGGCGAAGTAGGAGAGGATGGAGGAGGAACCCTGCTCGATCCGGCGGAACTCTGTGGCGAGGAGGACGAGCTGGTGTTCGCGGTTCTCGAGGAACAGCACGCAGATCGACTCCCACACGGCGGCCGCCCTGGCGCCGCGCTGATGAACCAAGCCGAAGACCTCGGGGCTGATGCGGTTGTAGAGCCACGAGACAATGTGAGCGTCATCCTGGAGCCAGGTAGGGTCCGAGGGACGAGGCGGCCCGGCGATGTGATCGACGACGCCGGACTTCTGAAACTGGACCTCGAAGAGGGTGCGCCACTGGGAGAAGTTCGGCGGATTGAGGGAGAGCACGACGGGGACGTGTTGGTTGATGAACACGCCGGCGAGAGGGGACGGGGAGATGGAAGAGCTCGCCTCGGAGTCATGGCGAGCAAGGAGGGTGCCCTGCGCGAGCGCCACAGGGGTGACGAGCGGCGGCATGGCGCGGAGAGGTGTGGGGGGAGCGCCGCTGGTTCCGGGTGGACGGAACGGCGGAGGAGGCGGGATGGCCATGGCCGGAGCCGGAGTTGGGGAGCAGCGGAAGAGCGGCTAGGATCGGGGAGAGTAGCCGGTGTCTGATACCATGTGAGCGTGAGAGATGCGAGAGTAAGGCACCGTGTGTGCCGATCTGCTATTGCTCTGTATATATGTACAGGTTACAAGTCGTGCGCAATGGCGCAGTTAGACAGAGAGAGGAGAGGTGCGACGTGCGCAGAGAGGGAGAACGTGTGCAGGACGTGGGCATGCACGTAGAGCGCTAGGAGTCAGTCAACATTCACCAATCCCAGCCCCACTGACCGCAACAGCCCCTGAGTCGGGCATGGGCCCAGAACCAGAGGCCGGCCCACCACCAGCAGACTTGGCCCGGCCCATGGAACACTGCAGGGAGGACTCGGCACGCTCCTGTGCCAGCGCTAGCGCCACCGCCGCCATCACCACCGACCCCGCCGCCGTCTCCAGCGCCGGAGGGGACAGGGAGGGAAGCGCAGGCCACTCCTCCCGCGCAACGCTGGCATGGGGGGGGGGTACAATACCCGACGCGACCGGCGCCGCCGGCGAACCAGCTCCCTGCTGGCCCGGAGTCGAGGACGACGGCGGCCGCCAAAACCGTGCCGCGATCTCCCAAGAACCACCGCCGCTCGGAGCAAAACGCTGCCGCTGCCCTCGTTGGCCAGCTCCTGATGACGCCGCCTGCAGCACGGAAGTCGCCCACAGTCGCACCCGACGAGGGGGCACCGAGCCGCGGCGAGGGGATCTGATGTAGGGCGGAACCCTATGGGGCCGATCTTTCACGTTTGGAGTGGATCCTACGGGGAAACACGAAGAACGCGCGGAAGAACACAAGGGAAATCATAGGGAGAAACGAGAGAAACACTCAACCAACAAGGAATCGATCACACAAGGGCTAGATCACCGAAAGCACAAAGTAGCACGAGATCCAAAATCAACAAAGGAAGATACAAGAGTAACCGTTCTTCTCTGTGAGGAGGTCTTGATTGTCTTCTCCGGATGGAGGCCTTGAATCCGAATGGATCTTCTCCGAAGAGGCACGGTCCCTCACGTGGAGTAGATCCGGTATGGATGAGCAGAGCTCTATCTCTAAATGAGCTATCCCAATGCTGACCCTAAAACGTAGGTGGGGATGGAGTATATATAGTCTAGGGGCGAAGAGGGGTACATGGGCCTCGGCCCTACACTGTGCGCAGACAGGGAAGGCCGGATGTCCGGGCGTCGGGCCGGATGTCCGGTGGCTCGTGAGGGGCCGGATGTCCAGGCTGAAGGGCCGGATGTCCGGGCTGGTGCAGATGGCCGTTCTATTCTCCGGATGGGCGACGCCGGATGTCCGCTCGGAGGGGCCGGATGTCCGTTGCTTCGGGAGGCGCCGGATGTCCGGGGTGCTGGCCGGATGTCCGGGCTGACGGGGCAACCTTCTGTGCTCCCTAGACGCCAGTGCCAGATGTCCGGGATTTTGGCCGGATTTCCGGTGAGGAGGGGCGGATGTCCGGGCCGGACGCCGGATGTCCGGGCCGGACGCCGGATGTCCGGTCCCTGTAGCTTCTTCTGCAGAGTCCTGGCCGTGTAGATCTCGAGGGGCCGGATGTCCGGGGTCCTGGCCGGATGTCCGGTGCCTGGAGGCTGTTCTTGCCTTCTTCCGTGGGTTCTCTTCTTCCGTGGACTTGGGGTCTGGACCATCTTCATGTGCATCCTCGGGAGGGTCCTCTTGGTACCTAATCATGCACAACATTTCGGATTGAGGTAGTAGCCATGTCTCAAGAGGATCATGTGATATATCACTAAGGAGAGAAGTCACCTCGGTCTCGAGAGCTCTAGCTTGTGCTCTAGTCATGGGTCCTCTTGGTGCTTGGTGAGACGATGGAAGGTCCATGGGGATGACCGAAGGATGCTCCGCATCAGGATCCCATCCTCCTCGTCGGAGTCGGCCACCGCTAGCGCCCAGAACCGTCCACCACACGCACCCGTCTCCGGCGGGGCGACACCCGCCCCGGGCGCACGCACCGGAGAGACACCGGCGCCGCGCCGGACCTGAATCCATGCGCCCGCAGCGGCGAGATCTACGGGAGGAGGGAGGGCGCCGCCCGCGACACCCGAAGTCGCCTCCAACGGCTCGCTGCGTTCGAAACTTGCCATCACTTGCCCTCTTTCATTGCGAGTCTTGACATGACAGATATATTGTGAATTCATCAATTCGGAATTTGAGTTATACCATTAACTGAGTCCAGGGAAATGGGACGGTGCTGCTGAGTTCTCTGACAAGGAGGTCATCAGGGCTGAAAGGAACACCGGAAATGTCAGCACTAAACTCAGAGAGATTCAGGTAAGTATAGGATCATGCTTTAGTCTATTTTTCTTTCTGCTCCTAGAGATCTGTAGATTGCTCATGCTTGTGGTGCGCGTTTCAACCTCGAACCTTGGATGCAGATGCAAAATTACCAGAAGAAGATGGAGCAGAAGATCCAAAGAGAAGATGACCTTCGCATGGGGCTAAAGCTGTACAAGTCGGTGATACATACTGTATGATGCAATGAGATTGCTTCAATTTGAAAACTCTGCTGACTTGTTCCGGAGAAAACAAAACTTTCAGGGATGGAAAATACGAGGAGGCGTTGGAGAAGTTCGAGTCGGTGCTGGGGTCAAAACCAGAGATTGATGAAGCTTCCGTAGCCAGCTACAATGTCGCGTGCTGTTATTCAAAGCTCGACCGGGTTCGCCTCCTACTTGTTTCAATATGAAGAGCAAAACTGCAGGTCTGCCGCTCAATACACACATATGGATGTTCGTTTGTGCAGATACAAGCTGGTCTTTCTGCACTTGAAGAAGCGATGAAAGCAGGCTATGAAGACTTCAAGGTAACTAGACACTATCTGCTTTACAAGATTAATGGGTCTAAGGTTCATAGTAAGTGACACTTTATCTTACTTGATTTCCTGAAGAGGATTCGCACCGACCCGGATTTAGCAAACTTGAGGAACTCGGAGGAGTTCGCCACCCTACTAAACAAGTACGATGAATCATTTATCAACGAGAACGCCATCAATGCTATCAAATCCATATTTGGATTCGGTAAGAAGTGATGACCTCCTATCGATTGCACACATCTACTTGGTCTTGCAGTTTTAGTTTTAGTTTGTTCTTGCTGAGACTTGGAGATATCTCCAGGAATGTTTTAAGCCTTCCTTTGTACTTCAACCATTCTATGAACATACACTTTGTACATAACAATGGCAATCCTCCATTCGGAAAGCAAAGGCCATGTACAGGAAATATGTTACCATCGTGCTTGTAAGTTGTGACGTACTAGCTATCGTGCTTGAGGTACCAATCGGAATGTGGATATATTTTCTGGTGAACACAAGAGCCAGCTTTTGACGGGCAAAACACGCTTTACCTTTTCAGTTTTGGCAAAGGAGTGAAGCTCAGGTGGTCTTTGTTGAAGTGGTTCCTCACTCCATATCACTCCAGAACTAGATGGTGCTCCCAGAATTTGCAATGCACAGACATGACTGTTTGCAAGTCTGGAGTAGGTTGAGGTGGGTCTTCCACCTAAAGGAGCCCACCTTCTTGTCTTGTGGGAGAGAAGAGTAATGCACTTCCCAAATAAGGTTAAACCAGGGCAGGTCACCTCTATTGAAGAATTTATGCACATTCTTCATGACAAGAGCTTTATTATGATCAGTATTTAGAATTCCCAAGCCTCCCTGCAGCTTTGGTTTACTGATTTTGTCCCAAGCAACTAAAGCCATTCCATTTTCCTCACTACCAAATTTTCTCCAAAGAAAGTATCTTAGAAAGTTTATCAGTTGTGTGATCAGTCTTGCAGGAAGTGAGAGGGTGCTCATTTAATGAGTATACCTAGCCATACCTCGGGCCGGGCCTAGCCAAGCCCGACGCAAAAAACCCAGGCCCGGCCATTGGGCCTGTTTTCTGGGCCTGAGCCCGGCCCGAACACGTAAAAGCCCGTCGGGCTCCGGGCTGGCCCGGCCCGACCTTTGAAAAAACGCAAATACGACGGGCCTGGGCCCGGCACGGCCTGGCCTTCGGGCTCAAAATCTAGGCCCGAGCCTGGCCCGGGGGCAGCGTCGGGCCGGGCCGGGTCGGACTTTTTTGGGCCGGGTTGGGCCGGGCTTCCCATGGCCAGGTATAATAAGGAGCACCCTGCCATCCAGTGATAACATATAGGTGTTTAATAAGGAGCAGCCTGCCATCCAGTGATAACATATAACAAGGTAGAGCACCCAGAGAGCCTTCTTTCAACTCTTTGCATGGTGTCGAAGAAATCATCAATCCTCAATTGTGAAGTGCTCATAGGCAAAACCAAATAAGTAAAAGGAAATTTCCTCTCTAGCATCCCAAGATAGCAAGCAGCCCAGGCAAAATCTCTTCAAAAATATGAATGGCAACAAGAATGGATTTGTTGTATTGACTTTTAATCTAGTGTAATCTGCATAATGAAGAATGAGATTTTTTTTATTTGAATGAGCCGGGAAGACACAATTGGGAGCACTAGAATGGTGTCATCAGTATATTGTGGGGATGTTTGGAATGCGCCATAGCTTGCCCCACCAAACTTGGGCAAGCCAAATAATTGGCGGAGGATACCCTTGCCCATGCCCACGCTAATGATTTGGCAAAAACTGAACTGCAGGAAATGGGATGGGCTAGGCGTGCCAAATAAATGGTGCCCAACCAAACTTGCAGCCAGATCTGGTCAATGACCAATTTTTTGGAAGGGCAGCTCACGGCTCCCATCCAAACGGCCTCTGAATGAATGGGAATTCAGGGCAGGAATAACTGAGCAAAGGGACCTGAATAAGATTGTTGTGCATTGTCTCATTCAGTATGGATTGCAATAAATCAACTAGTAGAACAAAGATGAGGAGGGAAAGAGGGCCCCCTTGTCTAAACCCTCTCTTGCAATGGAAGAATTTACTAGGCACACCATTTGGTAGGACACAAAAAGTTCCAGAAGAGAAAATCATCTTCATCCATTGGATCCATCTGTCCCCAAAACCTCTAGCTTGAAAATTTTCGAAGATGGTCTTGTGTTCAATGTGGTCAAAGGCCTTATCAAAATCAAGCTTCAAAACAATGGTAGGCTATTTTTATTGTTGGCATTGATGTAAATACTCAAAACCCCAGGCCAGACAATCTTGAATTGTTCTATTTTTGATAAATCCATATTGGCTTGGGTGGACTAACTTGAATCACTTTTTGAAGTAAGTTTGCCAACAACTTGGTGATGATTTTGGTGATGTAGTTCAAAAGGGAGATAGGTCTAAAATCGTTGGCACTAAGATGTATATCCTTTTTGGGGAATAAGTGTAATGAAGGAAGCGTTGATGATTTGAAGATTGACTCTGCCATTAAAAAAGTCTTCAATAAGTTGGTAGAAGTCTGCAGCAATAATGTGCCAAGATGCTTTGATCAAAGCCCTATTGAAGCCACCAGGATCTCACTACCGCAGGATGTGCTAACACGACACTACAATAGAAGACCCTTCAATGAAACTGTGTGCGTTGCATTAATCGCAAATGATGATGTAAAAAAAACCGTCAAAAAGATGCAAAACGTTTGCGATGGCAGATACATCAAACACGGTTCAGATTTTAGTTGTGTGTGCGATGCGGGGCATACGGTTCAGTTCAATGAACTGTTTGCGATGAGGCAGAAGAACAGAAACGGGCAGCCAGATCAAAGTGTGTGTGCAATATACAACATACAATTCACTCGGATTAACTATTTGTGATTAGGCAACACAACAAAAATGGTCAGCCAGATCAAGGTGTCTGCGATTAACGCCATACACTTCAGACGGATTAACTGTTTTTGATTAGGCAACACAACAAAAACGGTCAGCTAGATCAAGGTGTCTGCGATTGACGGCATACACTTCACACGAATGAACGGTTTGCGTTTAGCCACAACAAACAGAATCAGTTAGACAGATCAATGTGTGTGCGCTAGACGGACACACATTCTAATTAAAAAAGCGTGCGCGATGGTAATAACGAGCGCACGGTTGATGGAACAAGACGTGTGCTGACATCGCCTATTGTGGTGCACCCTATGATGCAAACGCCACATACGCGGCCGAGAACGCGTGCCCACGTTACGCCATCCGAGAATAGTATCGCACTTAGAAATTATAGAACCGTCAATAAATTTTGAGCCTGCATCCCATCACATTCCAAATTACTACCACGCTATATTTAATTGCAAACATGTTCACACCGATCAAAACCTAAACGGTTCCTCACTTAGGATCATATTAGTATTCGGTTATAAATACTACCTACTCCAAGATGACTGCACATTCCTCCTCAACTCCTCATCCACAAAAACAAACAAGTCTTTCAACGTTGTCCCCTTGTGTCTGCCATGGCCCGCATGAGTTCTGAGTCGAGAGGTTACTACCAGAGAGAGGCGAGCATGGAAGCGGAAGCACGAGAGATGTCCTGCCTTGCTGTGAAAGCAGCCGACATGTCCTGCCACGCCGCCTTAGCAGCAAAGAGGTCCTGCCACGCTGCTGAAGCAGCACAGAGGTCCCGCCGCGTCGACGATGCAGCAGACTGGTCCGGTCGCGCCGTGGAAGCAACAGAGATGTCCCACCGCGCCGCGAATGCAACAAAGATGTTCTCCCGCGCCGCGGCCGCCTGCGAAAATGTCTCGCGGGCCGGCGAGGACTCTCACAGGCGCATGCGCGCTATGCTTGTTGACCTGATGGGTCGGATCTCCAACTGGATGAAGCTGCAAGACGAGATGAATGCCTCGTTTGAAAATGTTACCAGCGTCATCGGGAGACTAGGGGAGGACAAGGCGAAGCTCCGCACCGAGCGCGACCTGCTGAGGGCGAAGATAGCCGAAACAATGAAGCAGCATGAGGAGACCACTGCCTTGTTGAAGAGGATGGGCGTCATTGTCAAGAAACTTATGGATGCCATGCTCTGCATCGAGCGCCAAAGGCTGGTGGAGAAATCCGTGGATGCTCTCAAGCAACATATTGAGGACACGAATGAGCTCATCGCCGCTCCCCGCGAGAAGTAGTCTCCGCGGCCTACAACAACGCATCAAGAAAGTAGAGATCAGCGAGCCAGATCATTATCTGCGTCTTCCTTTTTCTTTGCCCTTGTGTATTTCGAGAGTTGCCGGATGTGGCTTTTTTTAATTATCTTCTTAAATATGTAAGACAATTATTATCCACTGTCATCGTCCTTATATTTGTCAGTCTTGTTATAAGTCGAAGTCGATGCTATACAAGCCGTCTGATCTTAGTCGAGTGAGACATAGCCACACCATTAAACAGGGGCTCGGGCGCCATTAATGGAGACGTTGGGAGAGAGGTGGGCGGCGGATGGAGATCAAAGGGCTCTCCTCCTGATAGGCACTCACAGGGGTCTGATCGCATGCCTCCCGTACTCAAATAGCTACCCCGCATGACACCTCCTAGCCAATAAAAAGGGAGGACGCGCGGCGGCACGTAAATGGTAAGTAGAACGCCCACGATTTCAATAATACTTGTGTTTCCGATTGTAACGTGACAACACTTGTTTCAAAATGACTTTGTTGATTGTTATTGTGTGCGCCTTCGCAAATCGGACAAAAAATTTACCACAGCATGTTGGTTCCATGTCATGACACCATGCCAAGTTTCATGATTTCTAGGCGAGTTTTGGATTTACGGGAATTTTAAAACCAAATTTCTCGATGTTTCCAGCCGAGCCAACACGCTTAGATGTTTGAATTCCATTCCCATTTTTGCATGGGACCTAGAAATTCGCCCAAGTACACATAAGATTTTTCAACTAACTTTGGCGCACTGGAGCATGTGCTTGTAGTTCAAATTTGAATTATGTGCATTAAATGCGTGGAAACTCAATTAATGTATAGAAAAGGCCAAACGAACCTGGAATAATTCCAAAATTTAGGACGAAATTACTATTAGTCTAAGCTGCCTGTGTAAAAAAAACCAAGGCAGGAGAAAGCAGTGTATGACGTTTCGCACACGGAGGTGACACGTTCCCTCTCGGAACCACGAGCCTTCTTGAGAGAAGTTTCGGTTTGCAAGAAGCTTATACCAAAGCTTGTTCCAATTCGGCCAAAAAAATTACCATGACATGTTGCCATGTCATGACACCATGCC